ATTGAAAAATAATTTCACATTATCTAACAAAAATTTGATAATCAGATTACCTCAAATATACTCTCATTTCTTATGTGACAGTAATCTTACATTACTTTCCATCTCAGATTACCCAAGGTTGCAAAACTCGGCCGCCTAGCCGCCTAGGCGCTAGGCGGCACCGAGCCTTAGAGTTTTGGCCTAAAGGCGGCCAAAACTCGGCTGGCCGCTAGGCGGCCTGGGTGGCCAAACTCGACCGAGTCGATCGATTTTGTCCGATTTTGACCCTTTTTGACCGATTTTGTTCGATTTTGACCGATGTCGTCTTTCATTAATTATTGATTTTAATATTATTATGACATTATGACTTATAAATTATCATTAATTCATTTATTTAGATGTGTTATTTAAATGAACTTTGAAAACAACCTCATTAAAATTGTCGAACTACAAGTCTATTATTATTTTTTTTAATTTTTTTGGTGCCCGCCTAACGCCGCCTAGAATCCGCCTAGGCGCTAGGCGCTACCCAGCCGCCCGACTAGCGTCTAACACCTACTGCAACCATGAGATTACCTAAACCAAACATGATCATCTAAGATAAGTAACCTGAGATCCATTGAACCAAACCCCCTTAGGATTTTTAAGTTTGTGGTTAAAACATTTTTCTTGACTCAAAAGCTATATTATACAGTGACTCACCGCAAATTATATATAGTATGACATTCTGAAACATCTTACCAGCCTACCAGCTAAATATTCATTTCATCAATTTACCAAGATTGCTAAATTTTATTAAAATTTTTCAAGAAATGACAGTAAATGAGGGTAACAACGGCACCGGAAAACTCCTCCTCCTCCTCCTCAATTGCACTCTGCTAGGGATCGGCAACTGCGGCGGCCCCTTAACCATGCGCCTCTACTTCCTCCGCGGCGGCAACCGAATATGGTTCTCCAGCTGGATCAACACCGGCGGCTGGCCGCTCACCTTCCTCCCACTCGCCGCCGCCTACTTCCACCGCCGCCGCCGCCAAACCCGTCCTCATTACCCGCAACCTATTCGCCGCGGCGGCCGCAATCGGCGTAATCAACGGCCTGGACTCCTACCTCTACGCCTACGGCATGTCGAAGCTCCCCGTCACCACCCAGTCCCTCATCTACGCCACCCAGCTGGCCTTCACCGCCGCCTTCGCTTTCCTCCTCGTCCGGCAGCGCTTCACGGCCTTCACCCTCGCCGCCGTCGCCCTGCTCACCGTCGGCGCCGGGATTCTCGCCGACGGTGCCAGTGCCGACCGGCCCGCCGGAGAGTCGCGCAGAGAGTACATTATCGGGTTTGTGGTGACGGTTTTAGCGGCGGCGCTTTATGGGTTTATACTGCCGTTGATCGAGCTGACGTACGTGAAGGCGAGGCAGGCGATAACGTATGGTTTGGTTCTGGAGATTCAGGTGGTGATGTGTTTCTTCGCCACCGCGTTTTGTACGGTCGGGATGCTTGTCAACAAGGATTTCCAGGTGATCTCCGTCACATATTTCTTCTTCCTTTTATTTATTTAATTAATTGATTATAATTAGATAAGATTAATAAATTCATGCCAATATTTTAGTATAGGATTAAGGGTCAAATAGACCACTCAATTGCACACCACATTGTAATTGGACCATCAAATTAAAAAAAAAAATGCAATTAGGTGTCTAAACAACGCAAATTCATGTAATTCAATACAAAAATTGACTTGTTTACCTGTGAAGGCAGTTATCGAATTTAAAAATATTTTTTTAATATTTTTAAATAAAAATTAAAATAAAATAATAATAATAAAAAAACCTTCGTCTCCGGCGGAAATGAAGGAGTTGCTTCGTCTTGGGCCGTCTCCCCGGCCATGGAGACGGCCTGAGACGAAGCCACCTTCGTCTCAGGCCGTCTCCATGGCCGGGGAGACGAACTGAGAGTTGCCTGCCACTTCGTTTCCGGCGGAGACGAAATGGCGGCTTCGTCTTGTGTCATCTCCCCGGCATAAAGACGGCCCGAGACGGAGCCACCTTCATCTCAGACCGTTTCCCCGGCTAGGGAGACGGCCTGAGAGACGAAGATCCCTTCGTCTCCGGCGAAGATGACGTAATTTTTTTCGTTTGTTGTTCTTTTTTTTTTTTTTTTTTGGGGAAAGGGTCAAATAGGCCTTCAAACTTTAGCTTAAAAGTCAATTAGGCCCCTAAACTTTTTAAAGGTGCAATTACACCCATCAACAATTCATTTAAGTGCAATGAAGCCCAAAAACAAATTAATGACCTGCTATCACAGGTCATTAGGGTTCATGTCACCTTCCGGCGAATTTTCCGGCAAAAAAAAAAAAAAAAAAAAGTGACCGGCGAAATTTTTCGCAAATCTGGGTCGGTTGCTGGTCACATTTTTTTGTCAGAAAATTCGCCGGAAGGTGGTCTGAACCCTAATGACCTGTGATAGCAGGTCATTAACTTGTTTTTGGTCTTCATTGCACCTAAATGAATTGTTGATGGGTGTAATTGCACATTTAAAAAGTTTAGGGGCCCAATTGACTTTAAAGCTAAAGTTCGAGGGCCTATTTGACCCTTTTCCTTTTTTTTTTTAATTTTAATTTTAAAATTTTTTATTTAGAACTATTTAAAAAATATTTTTAAATTCAGTAACCGCCTTTCTAGGCAAACAAGTCATTTTTGGATTAAATTGCATGAGTTTACATTGTTTAGCGATCCAATTATATATTTTTTTAGTTCGATGACCTAATTGCAATTAACTTTGTAATTGAGTGACCTATTTGAACCTTATTACTTTAGTATATTATGCAAGCAAGGATGTAATTGGTTCATTCCTACTGACAAAAATGTGGTTATCTTAATCTCTATAATTAGAAACATCTTTGTGGTTATCTTAATCTCTATAATTAGAAACATCTTTTGGCTAATGTTCTTAGGAATGCTCGCACTAATACGTTAATATTTGAGGGGAAATGATATTGAAATTCAATAGAAATGAAATTAACAGGCCAGGTAGATTGACTATATTGTTTGGTTAATGTAAAAAAAATTACATGATAACAAATAATTAGTATAAATACTAAAACGTCTCTACACAATGATAATGATAATAAGGAGAAAATTGTTCAAATCATATGATACTTTCTTTCCAACTTTCATAGAAAGCAAAATACTACCCCCTCTCATTTGAAAAACGTTTTTCTCAAAAATAAGGAAAATAGGAAAACGTTTTCCATGAACCAAACTGAGGAAAATTCCATTTTTTCAAATTTAAAGAAAACTTTTTTCATCCAACCAGACATGCTCTAGGAATAACCCCAGACAAATTGGTCAGGTCAAGTAATTAAATTAATGGATCATGGGTCTATTGATCTACATTGCAATGTGAATTATGAATGAACGTTAATTTTTAATATACTGAAAGTTCATTTTTTATGTACCGAAGGTCAGGACACAAAAATGAACATTTAATGTATTAAAAATGAATGAGTGAATTCTCAAAATGGTCATCCGACTATAGCGTTTTCTCAAATTAGTATCTTGACTTTTAATTTCCCCAAAGTGGTCCTCCAACTTTTCAATTTTAAGTCAAAATGGTCCTCCGTTAGCTTTGGCGTTAAGTTGGTGTTAAAATGAAGGGTAAAACTGAAATTTTATGTTTTGCACACCAATTTAAAGCAATCTGTGATTCCTTTCAGCAGTCTGCGCACATATTTCTTCAAATTAGGTTTTTGCTCTCCTAAATCTACAATCAAAATGTGGGATAATGACCTAGAAGGCCAGAAATCTTTGCATTGGGAAGTTTGTGGATGAAGTTGAAGATGAACTTTTTGGCCTTCTAGTTGATTATCCCACATTTTGATCGCAGATTTAGGAGAGCAAAAACCTAATTTGAAGAAATATGTGTGCAGACTGTTGAAAGGAATTACAGATTGCTTTAAATTGGAGTGCAAAACCTAAATTTCCAGTTTTACGCTTCCTTTTAACACCAAAGCTAAACGAAGACCATTTTGGCTTAAAATTCAAAAGTCGGAGGACCACTTTGGAGAAATTAAAAGTTAAGGGACCAATTTGAGAAAATGTCATAGTCGGAGGACCATTTTAGAAATTAACTCAAAATGAATCTTCAGTATATGAAAAATGAATCTTATGCCATGGTCTATGGTATAATATTTGGTTAGATTGTTGATTTAGTAACTACAATATTCTAAATTCGGCTCGGAGTAACAGTGATCTATTCACCCTTCTTGGTTTGAGGTGGTCACCTATGACAATCTAGACTTATTATCAATGCACATCGATCTTTGAGTAGTACCAGTGAATTTGTCTTGTAACCAAAAAAATTAAAAATATTTTCAATCTACTATTGAACATAAGTACAATATATGTTTCGGTTTGACTAAAGTTGTCATAAGAAAGTTTGGTTACATTATATTGTTGGAATGAGAATTATATATATTATTAGCGTTACATGCAGGCGATCCCGAGGGAGGCAAGAGAGTTTGAACTGGGTGAAGAAAAGTACTATATTGTGGTAGCATGCAGCGCCGTAGTTTGGCAATTCTTCTTCATCGGCTCCGTCGGGGTCATCTGCTACGGCTCCTCGTTGTGGTCGGGCGTTATAATCACCGCCACCCTTTCCGTCACCGAAGTATTCGCCGTCGTCTTCTACGGCGAGAAGTTCCGAATCCAAAAGGCCATTTCTCTTGTCCTTTCCCTTTTGGGATTTATTTGCTACTTCTATGGCGAAATGAAAAGTAGCAGGAATAAAGAGGAGGAGCTTCAAATTCCGGAAAATAATATATGAGATTAGACTGTGTAACTTGTACATTTTAAAACAAATGTGTATTATTATGTCTTATATATGTTCTAATATTAGTAAATGTAAGTGTACAAATGAATGTACACATAATTTAGTTTTGTCAAATTATGAGTTGGATTAGTTAGATTAATTATAAACTTTTATTATGGTGGTCTGTCCCTTCTTGGTGCTGCATCAGATAATCTGTGATTTAGAAAAATATTAAAAGTATACATCCATTACAGAGTTTGTTGTGGCAAAGGGGACTGAAAACGGTGATTGACGTTTTTGTCCTTTTAAATAACGGTTATTGGATGGCATTTGTAACAGATTAACAGTGTTGAAATGGAGGGCATTTTCATCCGTTTACCTATTGTACGCCTAATATACACTAAGAAATAGTTGAGGGACCATTTTTGGAAAAACTCTTTTATTTATTTATTTTTTTAATTTATTTTCATTTTTTTTAGACTTTATCAAATTAAAATTTTTGTAGGTTTTTTTCTCACAAATATAAATAGTTAAATTCTCTCAATCTAACCTCAAAATTTTTAATTTTATCTACCAACTTTTTTCATTTGTCTAAACATACAAAATTTTCCCATATTCCTATCAAGTTTTACAATAAGTTTCGTAAATTTCATAAATACTCATATAATTATTATTTTTATCTTTTTATGTTCACACACACACTACACTAAAAGTTCAATAGACAATCAATCTCTATGTATCACATTACATATTATTTTTATCATTGAAAAATACATTATTATTAAAAATAACCCTAAGAGTGCAAAATGTAGGGAAAATGTTGGACCGAAAGATAAGTTTTTCCAGTAAACTTTCTGGCTGAGCCGAAAAGTAATTAAAATCTCGTCTAGACCGGAAGATAAGTTTACTTCTCAGTCACACGGCCAAGGGTGCACTTCTAGGACAGATAGGTGCTTTTGGCACTTCTCAGAACTAAGAAGTATGCTTCACTTCTCAGTCAATGATAAAATGTTAAAAAATATTTTTGAAAAGTAGGTTTAACTTAGCCTGCAAGGCCATTAGTTCAATTCCAAAGTTAGTACAAACCATAGCTACCATTTCCAAATATGTAGCTACCAATTAAGTAGTACATCATGCTAAAGAGGGTCTACACCTATAGTTACCAATTTTATGTGTTAAAGAACAAGTAAACCCTAACAAACCAAATGCAAAAATAATTAGCATAAAACAGACAATCCTAAACCTAAAGCCTCATCCTTTAATTTACCACAATTACAAGTTCTTGCCTTTGAAGTTTGTTTGTGTTTTATATATGAATATTAATAAAATTAAATTTGAAAGTGAAACTTTTTTTTTATCAAGGTATGCATAAAAAATAATAATGTTATTTTTAATGATAAAAATAATATTTAATGTGATACATAGTGATTTATTGTCTATTAAACTTTTAGTATGATTATATATATTACCATGTTTGGTTGATAGACGAATTTATCCCATGAAAATTTAATTCTTCAAATTTTAAGAAAATGAACTTATTTTTCTATGGTATATTTTTTACTTTACACACATTTTTGAGAGAAAATATATAACATGAATTCTTATATTACTTTTATATATCTTTATTATATGTAAGAGCATTTGAGTCTTTATACTAATATAACGGAATCAATATTCTAAATAATTTCTATTTCATGAAATGTAAGTGCAATTCTTTTTCAATGTTTTCCACCACCAGACTGTATGGTTCAGTAAGCAATATTTGGGAGAAGAGACGAACGTTCGAATTTCGACAGCGGCGGGAATTGTACCCAAAGTGGACAGGTCTGCTAAGCCATTGAGTCACTGTAATTTATATATCCTTCCAAATACTATGCTCTGTCTGGTCAGGATATAGGAGGACCTTAGAGTTGGATATTCAACCTTTTAGGAGAATAAGATAAATAATTCTAGTAGTAGGGGTGTCAAAGTGGGCCAAAGCCCGCGGGTTAGCCCGCACTCGCCCCACGATGGGGCGGGTGAGGGCTGCAAGAAATTAGGCTCGCGAAAATGCGGGCCTAACGGGCATGGCCAGCGGAGGGCCAGAGCCCGCGGGGGTTGCGGGTCGGCCCGCGAGTCAAACCATATTTAAAAAATAAATAAATAAATTATATATATAATATCTTTTTTTTTTTAAAAAAAAAACCATATATATAATATCTTAATTCTTAGGCAGTGTGTACATCTGACTATCTAAGAGTACGCAGAAGGGGAGAAATCCAATAATTTAATAATTCTTCGCCAATTCTTAATTCAATAATTCCTAGAGTACGTAGTTTTTCGGTTCTCTCGTCTCCATCCGCCTCCAACTCTATCAAACAATTACTAAAACTAAATCATCAATTCATATATATTTATGAAGTACTAAATCGCCTCCAAGTCCAACAAACATACATATTTCAAGTGGTTTTAACATGTTTATATACTATTTAATGTTTTTTAAAAAAAAATTAAGCGATGGCCCGCGGGCCAGCCTGCGAGACCCGCAATTTCGCATGCGGCGGGCTTGGGCTGTATAATTCCAAGCTCGTGGGCTTCGCGGTCGGCCCGTAAAAGCCCGCCAAATAAAAAGCTCGCAGTGGGGCGAGCCAATAGTTATGCTGTGCAACTGAATGCACCAGGCGCATGGTGCATACGATGCAAAACGACGTCGTTTTGACTAAAAACGCGCGTCCGACTTAAAAAAAAAAAATCAGGTTCGATTCTCGGCAATAGCATTATTGTGGATATATAGTTATGAATTTCTGGATATATAGTTATGAGTTTCTGAATATATAGTTATGAATTTATGGATATTTAGTTCATTCATTGTGGATATTTAGTTCATTCATTGTAGATATTTACTTCATTCATTCACTGTGGATATATAGTTATGAATTTCTGGATATATAGTTATGAATTTCTGGATATTTAGTTCATTCATTGTGGATATTTAGTTCATTTATTGTGGATATTTAGTTCATTCATTGTGGATTTTTACTTCATTCATTCACTGTGGATATATAGTTGTGGATTTTTACTTCATTCATTCACTGTGGATATATAGTTATGAATTTATGGATATATAAAAATGCAATTGCTGGGAATCGAACCTGATTTCTTCTTTAAGTGGGAAGCGCATTTTTTAACCAAAACGACGTCGTTTTGCATCGAATGCACCATGCGCATGGTGCATTCGGTTGCACAGCATAATTTGCGGAGGCGGGCCGGCCCGCATTGACGCCCCTATCTAGTAGTCATAATCCACTATGTATTAATATTCCTCTCTAAATTTAATAATGTAAAATTCACTTTTAAATTTCGTAACAGAAAAATTCAGATTCCTTGGTGTTGGTATAATGGTATCAGCTTATTCGTCGACATAATCACCCTCTTGTGCTAGGAGATGTCTTCACCACAATTCATCTATTAATATAATGAAAATAATTAAAATCACAAAAGGTGGCCATAAGATTATATTAGTTCCACCATCGACTCACCTCAGCCTCTATATAGTTTATTATAAAATTAATATAATCATCATTTCAACGAATAGAAAAGGTGCCATTTTGAAGGTTGATAAAACTGAAAAATTTTCAGTGAGCCATCATTTGTATGCAGACTTAAATCTCATTATCAGAAGCTCAAGAGTGGAGGTTTGACTCTACTTAAATATCATTTGATAATTTCTTGTGAAGCTAATGTAAAATCGTATAATGTCAGCACATAGAAAATTAGAAAAGTATTACATTAAAAAGAAAAATTATTCCACATACATTAAACTGTTTCATACAAGACTAATAAAATTTGTGAATGTTTCAAATATGAAGATCACTATCTTATTATGGAAGGTAATCATTATGATTATGAATTTATGATATGTACCCGATTGGGCACATTTGGTGCTCACAATGTCATCTTTCTCTCTTCTCTCATCTTGTTCCTCTACCTCATTCATGACCCGACAAAAACTCCAAAAAAAAAAAAAACACTTATATATGGTCATGCTCTTGCCACATTAATCAACAATAATATATTGAGTAGGTAAAAGTTAAATTCAATTGTACTTTTTTTGTAAATTCAAAAGGTTTAATTTGGTTGGAATTTTCTTTTAGGTAATGAACTTAATTACATTTTTTGATAAGACTAAAATAACTAATTTAATTGACACTTTTTCCTCTCTTTTTTTTTTTAAATTACTTTTTGGTCAATTAATGGGAAATAAATTGTCATAATTAATGGGATGAGTAGTGTTATAAATTGTAATTAGTGGCGCTGAATTGAAAACTTTCATCCTCAAATTAAATGACTACTAGACACTTTGAAAAGTCATGCTACTATGCTATGATTTTTTATAATAAAAATTTTCAAAACTTACCTTAGAATGCTATTAGAAAAAAAAAAAAAAAAAAAAAAAAAAAAAAAAAAAAAAAAAAAAAAAGAAGAATCCCAAACAGTCAGAACGCACAAAAAAAAAAAAAAACAAAAAAACAAAAAAACAAAAAAACATTCTCCAAAAGATGCAAGAATTACTTTCAAGGTGATTATATTCTTTAAAGAATAATGCTTTTTCTTTTCTAATTTTATGTCATAATGTTCATTTTCTAATAAGGTAATGAAACATTTTATTCATTTATTTATTAATTACTATGAATTGATTGACCCCTTAAAAATCTACTTATAAATGAAATACGAAAAGCAATTAATCATATATTGTCACACAAAAAGTAAATATTAAAATGTAGAATTGTGAGAGAAATGTAGCCATTGAAAATTTATATTAATTACATAGAATCATATCTACTAATTATGCCAGTTGACTACTTGGACTAGCTTTATAAGCATATATATATGTACCACACAAAAAATTTATTTAATTATCTACTCCATACTTATATGATACTTTGATTTATTAAAAAAAAATCTTATTCTTTCTTCAATAAAATAAAAACATATGATTGCTCCTGAGAATCCATTTATCATTTTTCCACTGATAGTTATGGAATAATGGAATATGAAAATTATTGGATGCTTTCAGGCTAATATTCGTGTGATATATTATGATTCTATTGGAAGAAAGAAAAGGAAAAAAATAATTATTACTTCACTTTTCTTTGAGTTAAAAGTGAAATATGCTCAACAAAATATATGAAGCATCCACAATGAACTATTTCAGTTCAAAAACCTACAAAACGATTTATGTATGTATGCACGCATATAGAAAATAGCTGAGTTGTGTGATGCATGTGCAAGAAGAATTTATACCACATCATCTGGTGTGGAATTATGTCTATCTTATCTTTAATCTTTAATTTAAATATATTAAACTTGAAAGCGTGCGCACATTCAAAGGCTGAGCTTAGAGTGGGAGGGGAAACGTAGAGCTGTTAACAAACTGAATATAAACGAAAGGAAATTGTTCGTATTTATTTGTTAAAATTTTTAGAGTGTTTGTATTCGTTTAGTCTTAATTTTTAGAATTGACTAATTTAGATACATGAATAATTAAGGGAAAATATCGTTCTCAAATTTACTAATAAATATTACTTGTATTCTCAAATTTAATTTAGTCTCAACTTTTACTCTCTTACTCACAAATATATGATGTAGATGAGACAATTTTTCTGGGACCCACAAGATGAAGACGCCCTATCCAAATTTGTCACATATACATTCGAAAGTTTGATTGAGATAGTAAAATTTGAGAGTTTGTATAGTATTGTTATACATACATGAATATATGCACACATATATGAGTTTTATTACATATATACTCCCAAATTCTACTCTTTCACTTGTACTCCACTTTTATTCTATGATGTGGCAAATAAGGATTTGATATTTTCATCATCATGTAGGTCCCGGGAAAAATATCTACATCAAAGGATTTGTGAGAGTGAATAAAAGTTGAGAGTCTATGTAGTATTTTCCCACATATATACTTCTACGTACTGGCACCTTTGTGGCTCTCCTTGAGAGAAAGTCACAGTATTGAACTCGGATGGTGGGTTATTCTCTTTGAACTGCAACAGATAGAGAAAGTATAGAACAGATATTACATGGTAATAGAGTAAATAATACTCAAAATATATATATATATACTTTTACTTGGTTTGACTTCTAAAACATTACAAAAATAGAAAGTGCTTATCATTGCACACATGAGTGCTGTCTTGCTATATATATAGTAGGATGGTTGAAAGTTTATTCTACAAATTGAAGTTAAAAATGGAAGTATCTGAAGGGAAGGGAAATATGAGGGGGAGACTATTCCTCCTCCTCAGCGCCATTATGATGTGCATCGGCGGCTGCGGCGGCGCTCTCCTCCTTCGACTCTACTTCATCCGCGGCGGCAACAGATTATGGTTCTCCACTTGTCTTTCCACAGCCGGATGGCCCATCAACTTCATCCCACTCGCGGCAGCCTACTACACGCGCCGCCGTCACACAACAACAACCGCTGCAAGCATTTTCACGATTACTCGAAACACATTTTTGGCCGCGGCGGCGCTGGGCGTCCTGCTCGGCATAATCAACTACCTCTACACCTACGGCGTCTCGAAGCTCCCCGTCTCCACATCCGCTCTCATCGCCGCCTCCCAGCTGGCATTCACCGCCGGCGGCGCATTCCTCCTGGTGAAGCAGCGCTTCACGGCGTTCTCGGTGAACGCGGTGGTGCTGTTGACCTTCGGAGCCGGGGTGCTGGCTGTGGGGTCCAACGGAGACCGCCCCGCCGGGGAGTCGAAAAAGGAGTACGTGGCAGCGTTTCTGATGACCCTTGCATCGGCGGCTTTGTACGGGGCTCTTCTGCCGTGTATAGAGTTGACTTACATCAAAGGAAGACAGTCTTTAACCTATACTTTGGTTTTGGAGTTTCAGATGGTTATGTCCCTCTTTGCCACTGCTTTTTGTACCGTTGGAATGCTGGTAAACAAAGATTTTCAGGTAAACAAAATCTACTTTCATTTACCATGGTAATATATATGTTGAGCATATAACCATTAATATGCAGTCCAATTATATCAGCTTTGACTTTTAGTTGAGATGGAGCACATGCTTCAATCTAGTATTAAAGCCATGCCAAAGGTCATGTAGTCGAATCTGGCAACAGCGTGGAATTTCCCTATAACTTGCATGCTAAGTATATAAATATATATATCACAACAATGGTGCAGGCAATTTCTAGGGAAGCCAGAGGATTTGAGATAGGAGAAGCAAATTACTATGTGGTTGTAGTGGTCACTGCCCTTATTTGGCAGATATTATTCATCGGAGCCGCCGGAAGTATCTGCTACGGATCGTCTTTGCTCTCTGGCATTATCCTCGCTGCAACAATATCTCTGACGGAGGTATTTGCGGTGGTATTTTACGGTGAGAAATTTGGATCGGAAAAGGGGATTTCATTGACGCTTTCGCTGTGGGGAATTGTATCTTACTTCTATGGAGAAATGAAGAATGGTGATAATAATAAGAAAGAGGAACTTCAGATTCAAGTGACTAATATGGAACCAAATGAAACTCTTCCTATGTAACATTCTATTGCTCCATCTACATCTACATACAAATCTAATAAGAGCCAATATAGTTAAGCTTCCAATGAGATATAAAAAATATTAGTGTGTAATTGTTTGTTGAAATGAATTGTTCATACTATTTTGATTCTAGTAATTTTTTAAAAGAAATTTTCTTACTTTACCTCTATTATATTATTTACTTTTTTTTAAATATCCCTGCATTTTGTTCGTGTAAACTTTAGTAATGAAATATTCCGTTAACTATTTGTTATTTTTAATTTACTCATTAATTTTCATAAGGAAGGTCTTACGTTTGAACCTTATCCCAATTAAAATTGACATAATTGTTAAACATATACTATGGATATATTAAAGTGTATTAAACCGATTTAATTGGTACTAAAAATTAGAGGTTACCTAAAGTTCTAAACCAATTAAACCAGTTGAAACTGAAAATATAACAAAAAAATATAAAAAGACAAAAATGCCCTTACTAAAAATAAGAAAACTCATGAGAATGACTAAAAGTGTCTAGGATGTTAAATGGAAAAAATGAAAGTCATGAGAATGACTAAAAGTGTCTAGGATGTTAAATGAAAAAAATGAAAGTCATGAGAATGACTAAAAGTGTCTAGGATGTTAAATGGAAAAAATGAAAGCCCAATATAAATTTTTAATGCTACTGGCTCTAGCACAATGTAGTGTCTATACATATACTTTCTCAACCTATTGAAACACAAAGAATCAATAACGCTTCCACTAAGGCTCAAACTTACAATCTTCCAAATGGAAGTCCAACCTGGATATCATTAGACTATACTCACAATCTCACAATTTTTTGATTGTTACTTATGAGAGAAAATATAATATTTATTAGAAAGAGTGACACTTTTAATAATAAAAAAATGGAATAGTTTTAAATTAAAATGTAATATTAGGGGCTGAAGATTGAGTTATTTATGAAAGAAAACATAATATTTTATGAAAAATGTGATATCTCTCAAAGATAAGGATCTATAAGAGAGATTTTTTTCACTTATGCACGTAACCGAGAAGGAAAAAAAAAAAAAAGAAAACCTACAAAACGATTTATGTATGTATCTATATATGTATGCATGCATATAGAAAATAGCTGAGTTGTGTGAAGCATGTGCAAGCAAAATTTATACCACATCACCTGGTGTGAAATTATGTCTATCTGATCTTTAATTTAAATATATTAAACTTGCAAGCGTGTGCACATTCAATGGTTGAGCTAATATATTAAACTTGCAAGCGTGTGCACATTCAATGGTTGAGCTTAGAGTGGACTGCTCACGGCGTGGGTGTCGCCTAGGGGAGAGGCGGTGAAGGTGGGAGAAATGTAAGGTTATTAACGAATCGAACATAAATAAACGAGGATTGTTCGTGTTTATTTGTAAAAAATTTTGGAGTATTCGTATTCGTTTATTAAGACTTTTGAAAATTATGTTTATGTCTGTTTGTTAAGCGTTCAGTAGTTTTGTTAACGTTTGCGAATATGTTTACGAACGTGTTCGTTAATGTTAATGAACACGTTCACAAATATGTTTATTTACATTTATGAATGCTTAATAATCAAAAACATGCACATGTTCATAAACCAGAGATACTCTATGTTACCGAACAATATATATATATATATATATATATATATATATATATATATATATATATATATATATATATATATATAGACTTCGAATCTGGTGCAACCCCTATACTAGAGATCTCATGATTATAAGAGAGATTATAAGAGAGTGTGAAAGTAATTATGGATATATTGAAATCAAAAAGATTAAATAATAATTGTAGATATATGTTTAATTATGGATATAATTCAATTGGAATTAGACCTGGTAATTCGTGTATACGGGTTCGTTACCGGTCGACACAATTACGACACGAACACGATAAGACTAAACACGGACACGATACGTTAAGGTTAACGGGTTCAAATTTTTAACACGAACACGATTTGTTAACGAGTTAAACGGGTTGACATGATAGACACGTTTTGTTAACGGGTTTCGGGTCGTATCGACACGATATGACACGAAACTCATTTAAACCTGCTAAACCTATTAATATATTTTTTAAAAAAACCAAAATTTAAAATTAAGTTATATAAAAAAGAAATAAAACCTACAATTCAATCCATCAAACAAACTAAAAAACTATTCAATTTATAACATTCATAAAATGATAAAATAACATCCAAAAATCATAATTAAAGAAGTTCATACTAGTTTTTTGAATAAAATTAAACACATTAAAAATTCAAAGTTCATATTGTTGAACATAAATAATTGGCCTAATGTAGTAAATAAATCATTAATCACGTTCATGATATCTTTTGTAATCTCATTCATGACAATAGTTCATAGCGGGCTGTAAACAGGTTTGTGTAAGCGGGTTCGTGTAAACGGGTTATTAATAGGTTTAACGGGTAGACATGTTAAGACACGAAACATAACGGGTCCTTAACGGGTCAACCCGTTAACGACCCGGGATACATTAAGGCTAAACACTAACTCGTTATTTTCGTGTCGTGTTAACGGGTCGTGTCCATAATTGCCAGGTCTAATTGGAATCTTAAGCATTATATTAGGGAGATTATGAATGGAAATTGATATTTTAAATTATTAGGGACCCTATCAATGGTAATAATTAATTATATTTTGTACATCTGAAATTTTAAATTATGGGAAATTTTACGGCGGTGTGTGCATGGGTGTGGAATGGTGTGTGCGTTTTCTAATTTGCCATGGTGTACACCTCCTGTTACAGAAAAACGCACACGCCATTCCACACCCGCGCACACACCATCGTAAAATTCCCCACAATTAAAAAAAAAAAAAAAAAAAAAAAACAACAACAAGCCCAATACTGTATCTACTATGCACTGATTATCTACTCAAAATTCAAACGCTGATACCCAAATTAGATTCGTATATTTTTATTTTTTTTGAATACGTTTTGCACACGCCCGAAACTAGTAACACACAAACCAAAATGTACATGCCTGTATCACGAAACGCACATACCAAAACGCATAATTTTATGAAAAAAACCAGCACGCCAAGGTGTACGAGCCCTGTTACAGTAAAACGCACACACCATTCCACACTCACGCATACACCACCGTAAAATTCCCCATAATTTAAAATTACAAATGTACAAAATATAATTAAATATTACTATTGACAGGTTCTCTATTTAATTGTTGTTTGACTTTCAATCCTATCCATCAATTGAAACTTTATCAATGGATGAGATGGGACTTTTGAGGTGCCAATTAGGAGAAAGACGAGAGAGTGTTAGTAATAATATATTGTCACATATCACATGTGTGGTGTTAGCTAGAATTACTCTAGTATATTAAAAATGAATATTTATCCGTGGTCTACATTGCAATGTGAATCATTGTCCATAGTATAATTTGCCTAAATTTAAAGATGATTAAAAGAAAAAAAAAAATAAAAACAACCTACCATGCTCATCTTGACAAATTATACCATGGACTAGGGTCCACCTTGCAATGTGGAGTGTGAGCCCTAGACCCTAGTCCAAAATGATATTGATATTATATGTTTGCAGTTAACATATTATGTACTTTTAATTAACAAATTATGTACATATAAATAAATTGAAGACACATAATATGTACCAGGACTATATGGTCTAATGGTATCCGGATTGGACTTCCAATTGGAAGATTATAAGTTCATATATGAACAGATACTACAACGTAATAGAGCCAGTATCTTTCAAAAAAAAAAAAGACACATAATATGTTAATTATAATACACGTAATATTTTAATTGTAACAAACACATATTTTATTAATTAAATGCACATAATATATTAGTTACGTAGTTTTGTATGGTCTACAATGGTATAACAATCGGCTCATCTTAGGAGACTTTAAAATATTTAAAGTATTGTAGAGTGAGAAGCCCAATTTGATGGAGTTAATCAAACCAAAGAAGATTACTCTCTTCTATTCCTTCGCATGGTGGTGGGCTGGTGGCCCAAAAAAAAAAAAAAAAAAAAAAAAAAAAACTAATTGAAGCTAGATTGCATGGATTTTCAAGGCAATTTATATCGTGCACTACGGTGCATATTGCATTAGGGTGCACATTGAATTGTACGTCTTGGTGTAAAACAACGTCGTTTTGTACCTTTATTGTTGGAAATTTCGCTTTTCATATTTTGCTGTTAACTTCTTATAAAAAAAAATCTCATGTTTCGAATATACATAATTGTATAATAGAATATACATAATTGTATAACAGAATATACATACACAATTGTATAACAGAATCACATACTCTTTTTTGAAAAGATAATACACATAATACATAATACTCATAAACTCTTAATATAATACACATAAACTTTTAACTCTTAAAAAAATCATTGAGAAATACATTATTTTTATCATTGAGAAATACATTTTATTGAAAATAACCCTAAGAGAGCAAAATGTCGAGAAAATGTTGGACCGAAAGATAAGTTTTTCCAGTAAACTTCTTGGCTGAGCCGAGAAGTAATTAAAATCTCGTCTAGACCGGAAGATAAGTTTACTTCTCAGTCACACGGCCAATGGTGCACTTCTAGGCCAGAGAGGTGCTTCTGGCACTTCTCAGAACTAAGAAGTATGCTTCACTTCTCGGTCAATGACAAAGTGTTGGAAAATATTTTTGGAAAGTAGGTTTAACTTAGCATGCAAGGCCATTAGTTGAATTCCAAAGTCAGTACAAACCATAGCTACCATTTCCAAATCCCTAACTACCAAGTAGTACATCATGCTAAAGAGGTTCTACAATTATGGATACCAATTTTATGTGTTAAAGGACAAGTAAAACCTAACAAACCAAATGCAAAAATAATTAGCATAAAACAGACAATCATAAACCTAAAGTCTCATCCTTTACCGCCACAATTACAAGTTCTTGCCTTTTGAAGTTTGTTTGTGTTTTATATATGAATGTTAATAAAATTAAATTTGAAAGTGAAACTTTTTTTTACCGAGGTGTGTATAAAAAATAATAATGTTATTTACAACGATAAAAATAATGGTATCAGCTTAGGATCATATGAGAACACTTGTTTAGGTGAGAACG